ACAAAGAAATCAGATTTAGCATAGAATGGAATAGACCAGTAGGAGAAAATTCTGTTAAAGTGCCAGATTTTCGAAAAGATGATTTTAATAGCCTAAGAAATTTTTTGGGTCAAATTGATTGGAAAGTCTTGGGTATGGGGTGTGGGCCGGTCTTGGAGCGAGACATGAACCCAGCGATAGGTGACTTAAATGGGGATTTCGATGTGGATTCAATATATAACTTATTCAAGAATATTCTAAACAAAGCACAGGAACGTAGTATACCATACAAATTGAATAGATCGAATACTAATGACCCAAAGTGGATAACAAAGAATTTGAAGAACCTTATAGGTAAAAAGAGAGCTTGGTACAAAAGGATTAAAAATGGGGAGGTCACTTTAGAACAGGAATTCGTACAACTGGTTAGAAATGTTAAAAAAGAGATAAGGAAAGCAAAAAGAAACTATGAAGTTCGCATAGCAGGGCAAGCAAAGACAAATCCTAAAGGGTTTTTTCAGTTATATCGTACTAAGACTAGGGAAAGGATAGGTCCATTAAAAACTGAGACAGGTCAAATAACAGATAGTGATGAAGAGATGAGTAGTATTTTTAATAAATATTTTGTATCTGTATTTACTAAAGAGGAACTTAACAATATGCCTTCAGTCGAACAAGTCTATGTGGGTGGGGACGAGGACAGGTTGACGAGTTTAGCAGTTACCAGGGAGGATGTTCTTAAACAAATAGTAAAACTCAAACCAAACAAATCCCCAGGGCCGGATGAAGTGTTTGCCAGGGTGCTTAAAGAATGCAAAGAGGAGCTTTGTGACCCACTGTCAACCATATTTAATAAATCAATAGAGTCAGGCAGAGTGCCAGAGTTTTGGAAAGTTGCTAATGTGATACCAGTTTTTAAGAAAGGAGATAGATCACTTGCGTCTAACTATCGACCAATTAGCCTAACGTCTATTGTGGGAAAGTTACTCGAATCTATAATAGCAAATAAAATTCGTCTTCATCTTGAAAAACATAAATTAATAATTGAGTCGCAACATGGTTTTATAAATGGCCGTTCATGTTTAACAAATTTGTTATCTTTTTATTCTAGCATTGTTGAGGCAGTTGATAGTGGTAAGGATTGCGATGTTGTATACCTTGACTTTAGCAAAGCTTTTGATACAGTGCCACATGAAAGACTGATTAAAAAGATAGAGTCTCATGGTATTGGGGGTGCTATATTATGCTGGATTAGGGCATGGCTATACCAAAGGAAACAGAGAGTTAGTATAAATGGAATCAAGTCAGAGTGGGAAAATGTTGTAAGTGGAGTGCCTCAAGGCTCTGTCCTGGGACCTCTGTTGTTTATAATATATATAAATGATTTAGATTCAGGTTTGAGTAGCAACATTTGCAAATTTGCCGATGATACGAAAATCGGTAGGGAAATTAATTCGGAGGAGGACTCACTATCACTTCAAGTTGATCTAGATAGGGTTTTGAAATGGTCAAAGGATTGGCAGATGCAGTTTAATGCTGATAAATGTAAAGTTCTGAGGTTAGGTAATGATGATAGAGTTACAAGATACGAGCTAGATGGTGTTGTGATTGCGAAGTCGGATTGCGAAAGGGATCTGGGAGTTATGATTAGTAAGAATTTAAAACAAAAGGATCAATGCATAAATGTTCGTAATAAGGCAAATCGGACACTTGGATTTATTAATCGCAGCGTTAGTAACAAGACACCTGGTGTGGTTCTCAAGCTATATCTTGCTCTAGTTAGGCCCCATTTAGATTATGCAGTTCAGTTTTGGTCGCCATATTATAGAATGGATATAAATTCACTTGAACGTGTCCAGCGTAGGATGACTAAGTTAATTCCCCAAATTAGAAATCTTTCATATGAAGAAAGATTAACAAAGCTTAAGTTGCATTCACTGGAAAGGCGAAGAGTTAGGGGTGACATGATAGAGGTTTACAAGTGGATGAATGGACATAACCGGGGGGATATTAATAGGGTATTAAAAGTATCAACACAGGACAGAACACGAAACAATGGATATAAATTGGATAAGTTTAGATTTAGGAAAGACTTGGGTAAATACTGGTTCAGTAACAGGGTTGTTGATTTGTGGAACCAATTGCCGCGTAACATTGTGGAGGTGGGGTCCCTCGATTGTTTCAAGCACGGGTTGGACAAGTATATGAGTGGGATTGGGTGGTTATAGAATAGGAGCTGCCTCGTATGGGCCAATAGGCCTTCTGCAGTTACCTTTGTTCTTATGTTCTTATGTTCTTATGTGATCATGAACAGGAGACTGGGAAAGTGTATAGCGAACAATACACACACTCATATACACACACATCCAACAAAATCACATACAGCACATGTGTGTGTGTCAATGAAGAAAATATCTTTCAAAATTATAGAAATAGCTTCCTACAACAACGATATGAAAATCTAATTCAAAGTTCTAGTATGTTACATAAGAACATACGAACAAAGGTAAATGCAGAAGGCCTGTTGGCCCATACGAGGCAGCTTTTGTTTATTGTATTGTATGTTTATTGAGACAAGAAAGAAATACATCTCAAAGGGATAGAGTAGCTTAGGCTATTTCTTCCCCCCCCCCCCCCCCCCCCCCCCCCCCACCAAAAAAAAATCTAATTTTTCGTGATAGAAACACCTATCCAGTTAACACAATAGAATCAACTGGTTAAATCAACTAAAGACGATCAAAACCTAAGTATGAACCCATATAATTACCAATCGTCGACACGAAGGGTTCCTTGCGGCTCGTATCCTCCTCGAATTTGGTCAATAAACTGCTCTTGCCGACCCCAGCGTCCCCAATGAGCACAACTTTAAAGAAATAATGATAGGGTCTGGACATGGCCGGTAGATGTGTGTGTGTGAATGAGGAGGTTTCCCAACCCTCCGTTAACCTGCATGGATGATAAGAATGATAACGCAATGATACTGAATTGCACACATGCCTGTGTCACTCTCAACACGGCCGGAATTTCACTATGTTAGCATAAGAACATAAGAACATAAGAACAAAGGTAACTGCAGAAGGCCTATTGGCCCATACGAGGCAGCTCCTATTCTATAACCACCCAATCCCACTCATATACTTGTCCAACCCGTGCTTGAAACAATCGAGGGACCCCACCTCCACAATGTTACGCGGCAATTGGTTCCACAAATCAACAACCCTGTTACTGAACCAGTATTTACCCAAGTCTTTCCTAAATCTAAACTTATCCAATTTATATCCATTGTTTCGTGTTCTGTCCTGTGTTGATACTTTTAATACCCTATTAATATCCCCCCGGTTATGTCCATTCATCCACTTGTAAACCTCTATCATGTCACCCCTAACTCTTCGCCTTTCCAGTGAATGCAACTTAAGCTTTGTTAATCTTTCTTCATATGAAAGATTTCTAATTTGGGGAATTAACTTAGTCAACCTACGTTGGACACGTTCAAGTGAATTTATATCCATTCTATAATACGGCGACCAAAACTGAACTGCATAATCTAAATGGGGCCTAACCAGAGCAAGATATAGCTTAAGAACCACACCAGGTGTCTTGTTACTAACGCCTCGATTAATAAATCCTAGTGTCCTATTAGCCTTATTACGAACATTCATGCATTGATCCTTTTGTTTTAAATTCTTACTAATCAAAACTCCCAGATCCCTTTCGCAATCCGACTTCGCAATCTCAACACCATCTAGCTCGTATCTTGTAACTCTATCATGACAATTAATCACCCAAACCAAAGCATATACATGTCCAATCCACGCTTGAAACAATCGAGGGACTCCACCTCCACCAAGACACGCGGAAACTGGTTCCACAAGTCAACAATCCTGTTACCAAACCATTATTTACCCATGTCTTTCCTAAATCCAAAACCTATCCAACTTATACCCATTGTTTCGCGTTCTGTCTCGCGCGTCTGGGATCATCCTGGACGTAGGTTCGAACCCTCATCACGGCCCTTGTGGATTTGTTCATTTGATGTATCACGTTATTGTGATTTCTGTGTGTATCTAATAACACAGAAATCCTTGCCAACCATCGTCTTCCTGATAAAGGTACGTCTTCCTGATAAAGGTAAGGGAACTTTCCCATCATTTATCAATCTGTAAATTTCTAAATAGATCTGTGGAACCAGCTATAGCTTTTGGGATTATCTGTAGCGAGTAGATTATCGAAATAATATACTTGCTCCAAACTCATTAGCCTAATGAGAGAACCAAAGCTCTCATTAGCACTAACTACGGAACTCAAACCTTTTTTTCTTCCTGCAGTTAAAATTTCTTCCAACCTTTGGAGGACGGTGGGGTGGTGTATGCATATAAGCAGCGCTAGAGAGGTGAGTAATTATCAGTCTACGTTGAAGTGGGGCTTAGAGCAGACGCTTAAGAACACGCTATTGCTCGCCAAGTGTCACTTACAAACTTCTGTTTACGTAAGTAATAAGTATAGAAAAGGTTTGAGTTATAATTAATGCTAATGAGAGCTTTGTTTCACTCATTAGACTTTGGAGCGAGTATATAATAATGTGTATGGGATTATCTATTCGCTACAAAGTATTAATGACAATTAAGAACTCAAAGGTTAGTTAAAAAAAACTTCAGGTAAATGACGAGGGGGAACCTTTGATAAACCCTCGGCTTCCTGTCCCTTATCGAGGCCATATAGGTAGATAATAGGCATATTCAGGTAAATGTAAACTTAATTTTATCTATAAGCTAGGCAGTTTAAACATATAAATTTTATTTGTCCACCATAATTATAATTATTTTATAATTTTGGTCATTATATTTATTAATATTATCATACTTAATAATAGTATAATAATACTAGTATAATAATAATATTATTATATTAGTATTAGCATGTAGTGCTTATAATATTAGTATAAGCATGTAGTGAATGAGATGAGTGGCGGGGAGAGCGGGCAGCTGGGTGGCCGTCATTGTTTACAAGTGGCGCCAGGAGGAGGCTGCGTGCACCCACCTGCAAGGTTTGTTCTCGCTGGGTGTCCTCCTCTTGCTGTCTTCTTGCACTGCTCTTACTCTCGGGTTCTTCTTGGTTTGTTCTCCATTTACTGTTTTCGTTACGGGTAAACAAATATTAACATATTTATTGTTAAATATTTAACAATTGCTGGCGGGTTTGGCTCCACTAGGCTGCAATATAAACATTTGCTGGCAAATGTTTAATTTAGATTGTATTGTATGTATACGTCTATACTAATCGCCGTTGACATCAGAGGCATCATTATTTGGTTGTGTACATTGTGTTGTATAAATTTGCTCCATAATCAGATAATTTTGTAATTCATTGTGTTGTGGGGACAGGAAGCCAGAGTTGCTTACACACTTCTATAACTTAATAGTAATTGGGATTAAAGTATAATCTCTAAAAAAAAAGTATAAATGATATAAAGTATAACGCATACTTTAGGCTTATATCAAGGTCATCCCCCCCCCCTGATACGTACTACGTATCACACTCTACCTTAGTGACTGTATTATTAACTCGTCCAGATCTCACCAATGGTGTCTGTGTCCAGGGATCCACTATCTTTAATTATCCTAATTGCTCGACAAAACTCAGCAATCAAGACAACAAGATCCAGTTTCAGTCTCTGCTCCCTTACTAAAATTTATTTTACCCGAGAGCCATCACTAATGGCCCTCAGGTAAATATCTGGGGTTGATATCACACCAGAAGATATAAATTAGCAACCCATCCATCACTTTCCTGTAAAACCTCTGTGGCTCTATCATAGAAACAAAGTAAATTTGTTTCTCAGGATTTTCCAGATCATAAATCATACTGTCTGTTATATAGTTTTTCTCCAGGTGTTCTACCCATTTAGTTTTAATTATTTTGGTGGGCTTGAGTGTTAGTGTAAATGAGCTCATGCTGGTTTCAAGAGATTCAGTTGTTTGTTTACATTGTTTGGGGGGAGTTCATTTGGCAGTTTTGAAACTTGGATCTCTTTGAACCCAGCAGTAGTCTGTACTGGTCAGGGCAATGGAAGCAGTAGTTCACTGACAATGAATGCTTTTCTGATGGGGGTGACAGCTGATGCAACCTAGTAGATGGGAGCCTTCTCAGTGAGATTGCTTCAGGGAGCCATAAAGAGCTTTCCCAGAAATAAATGTCAAATTTATACACAGTAGTTAAATTTACCAAAATATTTTTCAGATTTCCAAATTATAGTCGACTAGCAGACATGGGTCGTCGCAAGTCAAAGAGAAAGCCACCTCCAAAGAGGAAGAATATTGAACCACTGGATACGCAATTTAATTGTCCATTCTGTAATCACGAAAAGTCATGTGAAGTTAAAATGTAAGTACTGCATAGTATTTGTATCTTCCAGTTGAAGGTAATATTTACTGCTTACCAATAGGAATTTTTCATTAATAAATTTATGGTCAACTTCAATTTATATACTTTATTATTTGATTTTATATTTTATAAACGTTTACAAAATTTCCTGATCACTTAGCAGAGAGATATTCCTCATAGGCACTGACATTTGGGGAAATTCTTGCACATATGTTTTGGATGTATCAGCACCATGTATAATTTCTCCATTTTTTTCAGGAATAAACCAAGGAATGCTGGAAGAGTTTCATGCCTTGTGTGTCTGGAAGACTTCCAGTGTACTATTAACTACCTCTCGGAACCTGTTGATGTTTACAATGAATGGATTGATGCTTGTGAAACTGCAAACTGATCGATTCAGTTCGTGCAATTTTTTTTATGTTCATCTTAATTATGAAATACTGTAGTTGAGTTATACAATAGACTTGTTATAGAAATAAAGGATTTACTTGTCTGATTTCTCGAATTTCATGTGTATTGAGAATATAGCCTCATGTTTAGTATTGTCTAATTACAATATTTTATGAATGAGTGGAATAGATATTTCTATGAAAACTGTAAGTTTCAAAACTGGAGGGTACTGTAGTTACATACAGTCTCACTGGCTGTATAAGATACACGATTTTAGTAATGTCAAAATACAAACTGTACATAGACATATCTTTATATTATAATGATTAAATGTACAGTATTTTTTCATGCATACTGTAATGTAATACAGTAGTTTGTAAATTTGGCCATTACATTCATGTTTTCTTAACCCATTTAACCACAAATATTTGGGGGTTCTCACTTAGTTACATTATTCAATATGAATATACATTTCCATGCATTGAACATTTAAACAGTTTATATTATCTAAACATTCCACCAATGTGTCATACTGACATAAATCAAGATGTTAATAATAATGTTGCAACAGCTGACAAGCATTTAGATTAACTATCTTGTTTATAAGCTCATTTGCTCTTCACATGCACCCTTTCCCCACACTGTTTATGATTTATGAAAAGTTGTTTTGAGTTCATGTCCTAGTTTATGGTGTTTATTTTCAGTTGTCTGCTGATCTTTCTCTCTTAATTTATCTGTCCTCTCTACTATAATTTAATATACTGTATATATTTTTTCCCTCCACCTCACCTTAGTTCTGAACTGTATTCCTTGTAAAAAAATAATCTACAAATCCACAAGGACCGTGACGAGGATTCGAACCTACATTTGAGATCCTCCCAGACGTGCTTTTACCAACTGAGCTATGACCCAGTTCAATCTCGGATGTAGGTTCCCTTGTGTATTTGTTCATTTGATGCATCACATTATTGTGATTTGTTTGTAATAATATAAATAATTTTTTTTAGAATTATCCCTTCACTCATGCTAATGTTACGGTTATCCCTTCACTCATGCTAATGTTACACATGTTGCTATCTCCATTTCTTGATCATCTCAGTTGTATAGAATTCAAGCAGCTTAATACATTACAGTATTATCTTTCAACAACAATTAAATGTCTTTCTAAATTCATTTTGCACCCAGCAAAAGTTTGTCAAGCAAAAAAAAACATTTAGGTCAGATCTCAATCAGTCATCTTAAATCTTACGCCCTTAAGATTTTTACAACTTTATCATAACATATTCTCACTGTTTTCTGATCAGTTCTATTGTCACTACCAGTGAACAGATACTGTACTTGGTATTGCCATGTTTGAGGTACAGTAATGGCTTTCAGAAAGTAACATAATCATATCGTAATGGCCAACATTGCTGATTTTAATTACATTATTGGCTAAAATTAGATTAAATGACCTATTATCTAGAGGAGTCATGCTTATTAGGTTAGTAATCTTGTTTTTGTCTGTTCTCGGGCTATTAATTTTTTAAAAATTTTGTTTAGCAATAATGGCTAATCCTCCTCATTTTAAATATGTCACATTTTGTTGTATAGCTTTTGCATTTGGTTTAGCACGTGTTAAACACGTGTACAATTTTATTTAATGTGACAGCTTTTACTTGTCTTAATTAATCTCCAGTTGTCGCATAACCCTTAACCATTGTATACATCTTAATTAGGTTCCATTGTCTTAAAGAATCTGAGTTGGATGATTTGTGAAAATCTGGTTTGGCAATATTTAACAAAAGTAAATGTGCATTTTGTATAAATGGCTGTAATGCTTATATGTGTATTGTAATGATCTACTAGTTCTGTCAATAGTAGATCAAACCAAAGCATTTTGATTCAGGTTGCCAAAGGGAAAATACATTTTATTTTATCAAATTTAAATATTGTCGCATTGGTGGCAAATAAAGTACCTGTATGGTATACAGGAATTATATGATTTACATTCTTGCAAGGAGTAAAATTAAATGCACCTTGAGAATATGGGCATTATCTTTACATGCAAGTGAGTTTTCAAAAACAAAATTATTATTTATAAATACATTGGGTTTAATTAACCTAAATTTGAGGCCTGTTATCCAGGGATTGGTTAAAAAGTTACTGGTGGCCATGTATTGCTGCCTACGTTAGCAACCATGGTAGTTTTAGTCTTGTTGCTGTCTTATCACCGTTAAATTTTTACTGTTCCACTGAAGTGAGATGGCTCGCATACAGTGGTTCCCACTTTACTATAAATCCTCATTCATTGCAGTGTCATCTGCAAATTTGATGACGTAGTTTGTAATATTCTCATCATGTCATTGATGTATATGATTTTGTTTGCCCCATACTGAACCCTTGCAGTACCCCATCTTGGGATTATTTCGGGGCTTGGCGTCTCCATGGCCCGGTCCTCACCCAGGCCTGGCTCCTACTAACATTTCCATTAAGAACAAAAAGAACAGCCTGTTGCTTTCTTTATTTTATATACTAGTATTCCATCATTTATTCAATGTGCCTAATTTTTTTGCTAGTTGATCATGTGGTACCTTCTCATAAGCTTCAGCAAGGACTATGTATACTACATATACTGGGTGTCCTTCACCTGAATAGCCGTCACCGTTTCCAAAAATGTGAGGAAGTTTGTAAGGAAGGATCTGTTTTTAACAAACCTATGTAGAGTTGATTTTATTAGATTGTTCACCGAGAAGGTGAATGATTCCCTCTTAAGATTCCTATCCATGAGCTTGCAAATGTGTGATGTCAAACTGCCCGTTGGTTAAGGGGCAGTTGGCCAGGTAGGTAATAACCGGTCACCGTTTCCAAAAATGTGAGGAAGTTTGTAAGGAAGGATCTGTTTTTAACAAACCTATGTAGAGTTGATTTTATTAGAATGTTCACCGAGAAGGTGAATGATTCCCTCTTAAGATTCCTATCCATGAGCTTGCAAATGTGTGATGTCAAACTGCCCATTGGTTAAGGGGCAGTTGGCCAAGTAGGTCTCTGAATGCACTGTTGTACCCAGCAGTGAATGGATTGTTAAACGATTCGTTTGACTTTTCCATGGAAAATTAAGACTAGAGACCTGCCTGGAATGCTGTGCTTCTGGTTTTACAAGAATGAGAGAACCATGTAAATACAAAAAAGTTCATCAGGTAAAGGTCCAGTTTTCTGGACCTTTTACCTTTACCTGATGAATTTAGCTAAAAATCTACAATTTTTTTAGCTAATTTTTCTAGTTAAAAGTTTTGAGCATTAGTCACTTCATCAAATTTTGTTTTATATATATATATATATATATATACATATATATGTATATATATATATATACATATATATGTATATATATATATATATACATATATATGTATATATATATATATACATAAATATGTATATATATATACATATATATGTATATATATATATACATATATACAATCTTTGGACAACACCCACCAGTGGGACTCGAACCCAGAAAGCACAACTACCTTCCAGTAGCTGGCATAACTAGTATGCTTTAACCCACTACGCCATCAGACCTTACAAAAGAAGTAGATAGTTCGAGATATATATATCTCAAACATCTCTACCTCCCGAAGGCACCAGATGAGTGAGGGGTCAGTCTGCAATTTTCGTCAAGCCACTGTCAATGTGAGAGAACTCGTGTCCAGCTTATAAGCCTATACTTGCATAAACCACAAGTGAAGATAAACAATCTTTGGACAACACCCACCAGTGGGACTCGAACCCAGAAAGCACAACTACCTTCCAGTAGCTGGCATAACTAGTATGCTTTAACCCACTACGCCATCAGACCTTACAAAAGAAGTAGATAGTTCGAGATATATATATCTCAAACATCTCTACCTCCCGAAGGCACCAGATGAGTGAGGGGTCAGTCTGCAATTTTCGTCAAGCCACTGTCAATGTGAGAGAACTCGTGTCCAGCTTATAAGCCTATACTTGCATAAACCACAAGTGAAGATAAACAATCTTTGGACAACACCCACCAGTGGGACTCGAACCCAGAAAGCACAACTACCTTCCAGTAGCTGGCATAACTAGTATGCTTTAACCCACTACGCCATCAGACCTTACAAAAGAAGTAGATAGTTCGAGATATATATATCTCAAACATCTCTACCTCCCGAAGGCACCAGATGAGTGAGGGGTCAGTCTGCAATTTTCGTCAAGCCACTGTCAATGTGAGAGAACTCGTGTCCAGCTTATAAGCCTATACTTGCATAAACCACAAGTGAAGATAAACAATCTTTGGACAACACCCACCAGTGGGACTCGAACCCAGAAAGCACAACTACCTTCCAGTAGCTGGCATAACTAGTATGCTTTAACCCACTACGCCATCAGACCTTACAAAAGAAGTAGATAGTTCGAGATATATATATCTCAAACATCTCTACCTCCCGAAGGCACCAGATGAGTGAGGGGTCAGTCTGCAATTTTCGTCAAGCCACTGTCAATGTGAGAGAACTCGTGTCCAGCTTATAAGCCTATACTTGCATAAACCACAAGTGAAGATAAACAATCTTTGGACAACACCCACCAGTGGGACTCGAACCCAGAAAGCACAACTACCTTCCAGTAGCTGGCATAACTAGTATGCTTTAACCCACTACGCCATCAGACCTTACAAAAGAAGTAGATAGTTCGAGATATATATATCTCAAACATCTCTACCTCCCGAAGGCACCAGATGAGTGAGGGGTCAGTCTGCAATTTTCGTCAAGCCACTGTCAATGTGAGAGAACTCGTGTCCAGCTTATAAGCCTATACTTGCATAAACCACAAGTGAAGATAAACAATCTTTGGACAACACCCACCAGTGGGACTCGAACCCAGAAAGCACAACTACCTTCCAGTAGCTGGCATAACTAGTATGCTTTAACCCACTACGCCATCAGACCTTACAAAAGAAGTAGATAGTTCGAGATATATATATCTCAAACATCTCTACCTCCCGAAGGCACC